CTGACAGGGTAGAAATGCTTGTACACACATGCCTGCCACTTCCCAGAGCCACTACATGGCAGCAGGATATGCCTGTTTATGCACCTGCTGTGTCTCAGTGCACTGGTCCACTTGTTTGAAAGCCTGTGGTGTCACAACACAACACCTTGGTGGCATGGGCACACCTGTTTGCATCTGTGTGTCTAGTCCCAGTACTGCCCTGTAGTGGAGTGGGCACGCCTCTTCACACATTTGCTAGGTGCCATGGCATCACGTGGCTGTGCAGGCTTGAAGTTCATGCGCCTGCCATGTCCTGGCAAAGCCACCTGGCAGCATGAAAACTGGTGTTTGGGGCCTGCTGTGACTCCACCTGGTGGCACAGGGTGCATGTTCATGCACCTGCTGTGTCCCAGTATCAACAGCAACCTACAGTATCAACCTGGTTACACTTCTGCCGATCTGAAGCTGCATATGCCATCAAAGCCACACATGGTTCCATCTCACAGTGTTGCCATGTGATGAGGTGCTCACCTGTTAGAAAGCCATCGATACCCGGGCACTGCCTTCTGATGGCACAGGAACACCTACTTGTATACTTACCTATACTGTGTCCCATACCGTGGCAACACAGGCATCACATTTTGCAGACCGGCTGGGTCCCAGTGCCACCATGTGGCAGCATGGCCACACCAGTTTCCACGCATGATGGATGTATCCAGTGCCTCCAGGCAGCCATATGGATACACTTGTTCCCATGCCTGCATAATCCCAGCACCATAGTGTGGGAGTGCAGCTCGCCTTCCATGTCCAGGGCCACACTGTGGTAGCACAGAAATGTCTTTTCATATTTTCTCCTGGTGGCAGAGGCACATCTGTTTGCATGTCTGCCATGTCACGGTGCCACTTCATGGCAGCACAGGTATACCTGCTTGCTTGCTCTCTATGTCCCCGAGCCTCCAGTGGTAGTGCAGGTAATGCATGTTTATGTGCCTTTGTTGTCCTAATAGGTACCGCATGGTGGTGTAGGAATGCCTGTAAGCAAACACGCCATGTTCCAATGCTGCCATGTTGTGATGCTGGAACACCTGTTTGCACATCTGCTACATCCCAATGCCACCGTGTAGTAGCACGGGCATCCACATTCAGGAACATGCCATGCTCCAGTGCCAATATGTGATGGCATGACACTCCTGTTTATGCATCTGCCATTCGACAAGGCTGCCAACATCAAGTGACATTGTAGGTACGCCTGTTTGTGTGCCTGTTACATCCTAGTGTTGACAAGTGGTGGCCTGTGTATGCCTGTAAGTGCTGCATCCCAGCGCCACCACCTGATGGGGCAGTATGCCTGTTTTTGCACCATGTTCCAGCACCAACACATGGGCAGGCCTATCTACATGTATGTGAAGTTTGAAGTGGCACATGGTGCTGCACACACACCTGCTTGTACCCATGCAACCTTCCAATGCCACCACATGGTAGTGCTGGCTTTCCTTTTTGGACTCCCGTGGTGTCACTGATCTGCCCCTGGTGGCCTGGGCACTCTTATTTGCACCCATGCTAGGTCCCAGGGCTGCACAGGGCAGCTTAGGCACAACTACCTGCTCATGTATCTACCATGTCTAAGTAATATCATACGGTAGTAAAACAATTTTGTCTGGACACTTACCATGTTCAGCACTGCCATAGGCATGTCTGTTTGCATGCCTGTGACATGCCTGCCCTGTCTATGTCACCATTTGCAGCACAGGTACTGTTTGCATGCTTGTCATGTCCCAGCACAAGCAGGTAGCAGTAGGGTCAGGCCTGTCCCAGTGCTTGCCATGTCAAATGGTAGGATGGTCATGTCGGTTGACATATCTGCTGCGTCCACATACGTGAAGGTGCAAGCAAGCATGCACCTGCCATGTCCCAGCACCACCACACACCATAGTACAGCATGCCTGTTCACATGCCTGTTATGTCCCAGCACCACTGTGTGATGGTATGGGCCTTTGTGCACGTGTACTGTGTACCGGTGCAGTCACTGGGCAGCGCAGTTGTCTTTTTTATTGCTGTAAAATATGCCATGACCAAAGCAACTTATGAAAGAAACCATGTAACTGGAGACTTGCTCGGAGGGTGAGCCCGTGAGCATCAAGGTGGGGAGCACGCAGCAGGCTGGAAGGCATGGTGCTGGAGCAGCAGCTGAGAGCTTAGAACTGACCCACGGGGAGGCGGCACAGGCAGGCAGGCATGGAGCTGGAGCAGCAGCTGTGAGCTTAGAACTGACCCACAAGGGGAGGCAGAGGCTGGCCTAGCAAGGGCTTTTGAAAGCCCACCCCCAGGGACATACCTCCTCCAATACGGCCACACCCCATCATCCTCCCAAACAGTCCACCAGCTGGGGAGGAAGGGTTCAAATATTCGAGCCTGCCTATGGGCGCCACTCTCACTTAAGCACCCCAGGAGAGGACAGAAACTCTCGAGACAGAAGGAACAAATGGCATCACTTAGTGAGCACTCAACCTTTCCACGTCAGCCTGCTTTTCTGAATCATTCCGAACACTAACTTTTCTTCCTTTTGCATCCTTTCTAAGCATGCTTTAATATGTTGGGTCCCCCCAAACGTTTTTGGCCACCTTACTCTCTCTGAAGCCTCCCTCCCCACCATGCAGCTGCTTGTCTGTGTCTGACCTCCACATCAGTTACCGCACAACTTTTCTAACTCCTCTATTCTCTGGGTAGCTGATAACTTTCCTGTCCCCAGCTTGTCTTTCTTCTAACTTGTAATAAAATTGTCCTTGAGCATACATTCGAGCCCATTCTTCAATCCTTTCATTAATGAAACCACAAATGTATTTTAAACTTGCCATGATTTATGACTTTCTTTGTTCTGTAAAACTATAAAACTCCCTGAAACCAAAAAGAAAAAAAAAAAAAGGTATCCATGCTGAAACACGAAATTTGAGATAGCCTAAATCTGTGTTCCTAAGCCATGGTCACTAAAAAGTATCTCCATAATAAACTACCTCATACTCCTTTTACAAAATGTGTTTTATGCCAGGTGTAGTGCAGATCTTGTGAGTTTGAGGCCAGCCTGGTCTACAATAGTTAAGTTCCAGGGCAGCCCTACATAATGAGACCCTGTCTCAAATAAATAAACAAACAAATATATATATATAAATTTATTTTATTAATGAGACTAAAAACTTCAAGAGGAAATTCCAATTCCCCTTGGATCAAGATTTCTCAAACACGATAATCAAATGAGGTGAATAGACAAATAAGACACTGAAAATTTCATATATAAGCACTTAAGAAACTACAGACAATAGAGTCATTTTCTTTGGTATAATAAAGAAACCAAAGGTATTGATTAGTACTGGTTCAAACAAGGTACATATCAGCAACCTTATATTTTTAGATTGTAATGTAATCCTTTCTTTTTCCTGGTGTAATTCCAAAAGCCCACACCATTCCTAGTTAGCTGTCTCTGCCTCATACTTCTGGATCAGATGTAAGCAAGCATTCAGCTCCTGCTCCTGCAACATGCCTGCTTGCCTGCTGCCATGCTCCCAACAGAAGGGTCACAGACTCACCCTCAAAATCTGTTAACCCAATGAACTCTTCGATAACATCCTTGGTCAGGGATATTCACAGTAATAGAAAAGTAACCAAGACATATACACATACACGTGTATATATACATAAATACAACCTGCCAAGTCCATTTAGTGATGCTCAGATTACGTTGTTTATGGTTGACCACTTGGGATTGGATTATTGGGATTGACCAATTCTGAGTGTTAACCCTAAACACATAGAAACACACATAAACCCAAAAGAAGCTTTTCTCTGGGTAAGATTGATTCTTAGCAGCTTTTCTTTTAGAGATAGGGCCTTGTAAGATTTCCTCATCCCCTTTTGGCATGTCAACCAGTGGTGTCATTGTGCAAGTCTTGTTCAGGTGACCATATTGTTAATATTTGATGGGTGCAACTCCCTGTCACATATAGAAGAGTGCATCTCATCCTACATTGTGGTCTCAAGACTCTCAGTATAAACTAAAGAACTAATGGTAGCCATAAAAGAAATGCCTGTATTAAATGTACACTAAGCAAAAACTATGAACAGCAGAAAAGACACCTTATGCATCTTTAATCATTTAGACAAACATGGTTGGCAGACAGCTGAGTGACTATCTCCATCCAAAACATTCATATACCAAGAGGGGGCAATTTGGTAGCTGACAGCCAGACAGCCAAAGCACATTTCTAAAGGACCAATACGAACACAAGAGTGCAGTAACAAGTGCTCGTCTTATTCTTAGGCTTCCTCTGACAAAATCTTCCTATGGGAACACTTTGTTTCTGCTGACGGAGTATTTCACTGTTATGTCTGAGCTAAGCACCTTGATGTGAAATACAAGGTGCATACAAAGAGATTGTTTTTTTGACAAATAGTTTGACAAAATATAATACAGTTTGACAAAACAAGCTAATTAATTAACATATTAGTTTTCTAGAAAACACTAATGGATGGCTAGTGTTAAAATAACCAAGGTTACACATTCTTCATGTTTCCTGGAAAACTGTTACATGTAAATATTTTATATATGTGTATACATATAATATTTACATGTGACTATATATATGTACTATTTTAGTTTAACAGAAAATAGCATTGTTAGCTTGATGTTTTAAATGTCAACTATGCATCGTTATCTTTCGTAGTAATAAAACTTGTGGCACACAGAAGTTTCCTACTAGATTTCTTCACAATTTATAACCTGAATGACAGAATACCTGTATGTGGCAACAAAGTTACAGAAGTCATATGAACAACAAATATCTGATGTCTGATCCTTTGCAAATGCGAAGCTACTTTTACCTATTTTTTCAAGTAGTCAAATATAAATAGGATGAGGCCATTTACACTTGAGATGAGGCACTTCAATGATTACCCCAAAAGAGTAACTATGAACGAAAATTCTTGATGTTAATCTTATTCTTCATTTCAGGTATAATAACTTCAGATGGTTTGCACTACAAGTATTATAAACCTTTATTTTTTGTCTTCCTTTTGATCTAAGTGAACAAAACTGTGAAATACATAAAATACAGACATCAATCACCACAGACCAGTTACTGTGCTCACATACAAATGAACTGAACACAATTAATTACTTAATGACACAAGTTTCAAAGAGGACTACTTCAACACTAAACTTCCATAGTTTTTTCATTAGCATCAAAAGGGCAGATCTCAGCACTATTTCTAGATAAGAATGTCCTCAAATACATTAACTGAATTACAAGCTATAATCTTATATATGCTTTCAAAACACTGAATTAAAAACTAAATGTATAGGGCTGGAGTAGCAGCCTTGTAGAGACCTGGGTTCAGTTCCCATCACCTACACGGCAGTTCTCAAGCAGCTGTCACTCCTGTTCTTGGGGTTCTGATGCTCTTCCAGCCTCAGGTGGGCAATACATATAAATGAATATAAATACATGGAGGCCAAACACATTTTATACACATAAAATAAACATTTAAAACATTAAATCTACCAATATTTTAGCTGAAGATCCAATTTTAAGTGTTTAAAAAAAATCCGTAAGAACAAATATTTTGTTTAGCCAGTCTTTTGCAAAAGATCTTCAAATAAAATAGTTGGAACAACTCATTTTCAATCTTAAATCATGTTCTTTGTCTATACATTTATAGTGAATGTTTGGTGAATTGAGGTAATAAATATTAGATACTAATTCCAATTTTCCATAAATTTATTCTATTATATTTTGCCAACTGTCTGAATTCAGTATACCTTAATTATTAAAGAAAATAGCTGACTCTAATTTTTAGGTTTATACAAAAAGAGTTAAAATCTTGACATGAGACCAGGTTTGGTGGTCCATGCCTACGATCCCAGCATATGCGAGGCAGGCACAGGACAGCAATGGTGAGGCTAGCCTATGCTACCTATCAAGACTCTTCCTGAAAAACAAAAAATTTGCAGGCCTGTTAACTACCAGTAACAGATAAGATTACTGGCTGCTTATAATTTGAGTAAATTTATAAAGCCTAGATACCCAAATGTCTTTTGATAAAATACAAGTCAGTACTTACTCGAACATGGTTAGCTATTTCAAATCCATGTATCAAAACACTAACATTCTGTTCCTCTAGAGACAGACTAGCTTTAAGCCAATGTGATTCCAGAAAGAGCTCTTCTAAAACAAAAAGTTAGTCAATATTCAAATAAAAAAGAGAGAGAGAATGCATTTATATAGAATGACAAAATGTAAGCTTGACAAAAGTAGTGACTTTTATTTACAACTGCATGTATCAAGATTACAACAGAAACACTAGTGATGCCATCTGAATAAAAGCAATGATTTACTGGTAATGGCAACAAATGAAGATGAACAGTTTCCGAAGAGAATCAAGCAATTATCCAGGAGCTGCAAATCTGACTGCAGTAAGTCTTCCAGTGTCTTTTGTAACTTTAATGGCTTTCTCCTTTTTTGCCAACTACCTACAAAAACAAAACAAAACAAATTATGTACAACTTAATGATTCCAAATTATGTTTAAAAAAATACTAGCGTGATAATGATTTCAAGTCACTTTGGTCCTTTGGTCCTGGTATTAATTTTTAATCCTTGAACCTTTCCGCATGCACTGTGCTTAGACTGTCGCAGCACACTGTGACACCCCTTCCCCTAAACACAAGGAATTAACACATGCAAGCTATTGTTGGTTTCCCATTGTTTTAAGTAATATAATTTTTCCAAACCAGGTTGACAGTTTAGAGAAGTTAATAAAAAGGATGATGCTATGAGTAAAACATTCTTGGTGTACTAGTTTTAAACAATTAGAAATCAAATGTCAATTACAAAATAATCTGTACTTAAAAGAATACACTAAATTCATGTCTTTGTGCCCATTGATGGGTTTCTAGATATTTCCTTCAATATGTAAACAAGAAATGAAAAAGACTGAAAATAATGAGTTCTTTTCCAGCTTTAAAAAAAAAAAACAACCTGGTTGATAGAAATGGTCTATAAGAAATGTAAAAAATAAACCTTGCATCTGAAGTGATTTTAAAAAAAAATCTATCTAGTTCTGAAGGAGGTCTGTAAAAATATCCTAGTTCATATAAATGTCCTAGCACAAAAAACAACAACAAAAAAAAGCAAGAAAACAAAGAAGAACCTGGTATCTACCAATAAGTCATGAATGAAACAGTCTCTGTTGGCTTTGTTCTAGAGTAATTTATCTAAAGAATAGAGTTTATCATTAGTTAATATATTTTCACAGCATAAATGTCTCAATGTATTACATGTATATTTGTATAGAAAAAGATGTATATACATGCATGAAGCTAAGTTTCTTATTTTAAAGTGATTCTGTTCATAATGATGTCTGCAGGTCATTCATACATGTCTGGTCAGTGATAGAAAATAGCTGAGTCAATGTCATTCTCAAAAAATACTTAAAAACTCTTTCTATCAAGAATTATTAACCAGAGAAAGCTAATGTTTTTGAGTTTTTGTTGTAGTTTGTTTTTTCACTCAATCCAGGAAAAATTTTTAAGGAAATTCCTCTTTGGTCCATGCAAACTATGGTAGAATAGCTCAGAACAGACAATAGCATCAGAAAAGAGAAAAGTGGACAAGAGTAAGAAAAACGGGGCTTTAAAATACACCAGAATGCAGGGGAGATGGTACCACCAGTACCATAAGTGAATTTTAGCTGATACACAATGACAACATTATTGACCACTATATTACTTAGGAAATGCAAAACACAGAGCTATTAGATTAAGCAAAAGAAAACAATTAATATTAAAACAAAATTTTAGAAGATGTGATACAGTAGAAGATGCAAGTCTGCATACTGTTTCACAGGTTGACAACTCTCAACTTGCCAATATGTATTCTCTGTAAAAAAAGAAGAAATTCAGCATTCCATGCGGATTCTTACCCCAAACATAAAGCTCTTTCATTCTGTCTTAAGTCTTTACGTTACACCTCAGATAAACCAAAGTCTAGGTACATCAAAATCAGATGTTAAAAACTTTCATTCAGTAAAGAAGTCATTGATCTTCTTTCTGCATTAGTGTTTTAACCCAGCCTGTTTAGTCCATACGTCCTTCAGCTGGACTTGAGCTCACATGGGTAAAGCATGAGAGGAAACAACCGCAAAAAGATTTTGTGGCTAATGCTCCAAGGAGAAAACTCACAATTTGCAACTAAAACCTAAGGCGTATATATATAACACTAGCTCTAGTTTGAAAAAAACAAAAACAAACAACTTATATTTAGTTTCCAAAACAACTCTCCTGTTCCTAAAATATAAAACTTTAAAATGGATGAAAATATTACTCAACTAATTAAACTTGAAAGCATTTTAAAAAAATTTAAGTTTTACTCCAAAATTATTTCTCAAAGTACTGAACAAAATTAAATAAGAAACAGCAGAAGGTTAAAAAAACAAAAACAAAACTGCCTTGTGAGCAACATAATAAATATGGTAAGAAAATTAAGGCACCTAATTGCAAGCAAAATAAAGGGCCAACTGAGAGTCATGAGTGGGATGAGATCTGAAGGAGGAGGTGGTGGAGGCAATCTAGGTAACAAGAAGGCTGATCCAGATGCTGAGGCTGAAGAAATCTCGCAGCGACAACTGAGGAAGGACATGGGGAGGGTGAGAGCAGGTGACAGATGAGCAATGAAGCAAGGAAGGGAGTACAGTGAGACAAAGTCTATCTGTGTATTACTTCATTAAAAAAAAAAATCTTCTGGTTTAGTTCATTGAGTTGTATTAAAAAAGCTGAAAAATAAACAAACAGAAATGTTATAAAAATAGCGTATGTGGTAAATGGCCAGTTTAGAAAAGTCTATTTTTATAAAAAGTGATAAAGACGTGGTATACTTTTCACATGCACCTTGTTACCTCAGAAGCAAAAGCCCAAATTTTCTCACTTTTGCACACCTGTATTTTAATACAAAGCAATCTATGTAAAAAGCCTATTTTAGCAAAGAAAATATTTACCCTTAATTAAAATTGCAAGCTTTTCATGCTGCACCAAAAAGAATGCATTTACAGCAAATAGCCAAAGTATGCATGATGCCTTTGAGGGCCAAAACAGATAAATAGAGGGTGTGTTCTATTCTAGCAAATCTAAAAGTGAACTTATAAAGCTGTAACAGCATGCAAAGTCATCTAAAGTAGCTATCCACAACCAAGATTTATTAATATTACCTTGGCTTCTGTCAACTTAGTGACGTAAGAGGGAGATCAGTGACATGCTGAAAACTAAAATCATCTACAAATAACTCACACAACAGAATATACACTGAAAATACTTAAAACTTTCTACTTCATGATCCAGTAAATCATTTTACATAGATCTCTCTCCACTTCAGAAGTTAACAAATCTATCTTCATTGAATATAGAATACATACCACATATACTTTGAAAATTTAAAAATCACAACACAGATCCTTTTAATATCAGACTCACTAAATTGTAAAAGGAAAGATGGTTGTGAAGAAGAAAATGTCACTGGGCTGGAAATATATGAGAATGCTTTAACTGTCTGTTCCACTTATACTGTCTTGTAAGAACACAATCTTGTTACAATAAATAGGGACAATGACTGCCGTGGCATGGTAATACAGGAGCAGGAAAGTCAAATGCATTACTGTTCCAAAGCTAGAATCCAAAATTCACTGAGTTTTTAATAAGGAACTCTATAAAAGGACCAAATGGGCCAATCTCACATAAACCCTGTTTTTCTACATTGAAGTTGTTGTTTCTTAAATATAAAAATAACCCTACAAGACAATGAGTGACTGCAAGCAGAATAAACCTCACCCAGAAGCAATTACCAAAGCAATGTCACATTAAAATACTAATATACCTAAGGAAAGTATTCAACCAATTAAAACTTCAATTTTGAAATCAAAGGACTCAGAATCCTGTTTTTAGATTCTTCTTATAGTAGTTCTAACAGTATTGCTAGGGACCCCAAAGCTGTTCTTTGATGAAGTCTATGAAGTTAAAACTGTCTTCAGAATAACACTAATTTACTTTTAAAATTCTCTTTCTCTTCCAAATATACATGTTTTCAAATGGAAACATGGTATGTGCTTAACAGGTTGAGTAGAAAAACAGATATTACCATAAGAACTCTATTAGGCTAGGGAAGAAATTCATAAAAATATAAAGCAGTGTTTCTTTTCTTATTAAAGCATTTTTTTCTATTGGAAAGGGTAGAATTGTTGAAGTTTTTAAATTTTATTTTATGTGTATAAGTCTTTTGCCTGTATGCATACATGGGGATGATGTATGTGTCTGGTACCCACAGAGATCAGAAGAGGCTGTCTGAAGTCCTGGAACTGGAGTTCCAGACAGGTGAGTCACCAAATTGAACTTGGGTCCTCTGTGAGAGCAACAAGTGCTCTTAACCACTAAACTCTCTCTCCAGGCCCTGGAAAATGTGCATTTCATTAGAAATATCACTGCTAATTTATAATGAGTTTATTATAGTTTTTTTTAATTCAAAGTTTAATTTTTGTTTGTTTGTTAAGACCCCCACTTGTAGCAATCACCCTCCCTCAACCAAATATGCAGGTAAGTGGATGGACCTAGAAGAGATTCTAGAGTGAGGTGAGCTAGATCCAGAAAGACAAATGCTGTGCTGCATGCTCTCTCATCTGTGGTTCCTACACCAAACCTTCAGATATGAATACACAACATGGAGTATCCCAGAAACAAGTATAAAGGGACCATGGGATGGGGGTAGGGCCTGAGAGGGGAACAGCAGGACACAGGTGATATGAAGTAGGAAATGGGAGGGGCTTCAAATGAGGAGGAGGGAAATGAATACAGAAGCAGGAGGGATAAATAACACCAAAGTGGTTATTTATCTCAAGGAATCATATTTTATATTTGCCTAAAATTATACAAAATATATATTAGTATACACATACACACACATCTTAAAAGAAGTTAAACTACTTGGGTTAACCCACAAAAACCATAGACTAACAAAAATCTTAGTACCAGACACAAGAAACCTTTGAAGGCTTGGTCAGCATAGTCCAAGTGACTCCCAAAACAATATAGATGACCAATGTAGCCCTTGATTACCTCTCAGGGGTTGAAGGTTGGACCCTATTGCTGAAAACCACACACTGAAGATACATGACTCAAATGACTTGAGCTGGATCTGACCTGAAAGCCTCTTCCTGTGGTCTAACTTTCATGATTCCAGAAAATACTACGAAAATTATCAAAGGAGGGAGGGAAGCAACTAATCAGCCCTATCCAACTGTAACATCTATGAACCACAAGTACCAGCGTGGCAAAATATGCATAAGAGTGCAAGAAGTGGCAGTCACATGTTGGTGGCAACCAACAGCTGTCTAACTGGAATCTAGTCAGCTTCCCAGGGCTAGTGAGGTCATGGATCTTAGAAAAGCATCCATTACTGACACTTTGCTAGACCAGCATAATCCTTATCACATCCTAAATCTCATCCTTACATCCACAGATAAGTGTGACTACCACACCTCATCAAAGCTTCTCCTTACAGAATATGGAAACCATCACAGAAAAACACAACTGAACCCAATGCAGGGATCAATGGATCATGGGGAGCCAGCTCCAGTGGATATAGCTACATCACAGCTCCTGCATCTCTGGCTGAGGGAACACTGTGGAAGACGGGGGAAGAAAGATTGTAAGAGACAGTATCAGAAGTCTGCTGTGAAACTGTCTCCTAGAAATGGCTGTACAAACAAGACAGGAACAATAGCAAAATCAATGGACCTGCTAATGTAGAAGGAGAAAAATGCTGTAGGGTCCAACTCCTAGTTAGAAAACTACAGGGAACTATTAATTTCTGGGAGAAGGAGACTTAGCCTCTTTCCAGAGATGAACTCTCTTATTGGTTGTCTGATGCTGAGTCGTCAGTCGTCATACACACACAAAGAACAAGAATGGACGCAGCAGGTTGTTAGATAGATAGATAGATAGATAGATAGATAGATAGATAGATAGATAGATAGATAGATAGATAGATAGATAGACAGATAGACAGACAGACAGACAGATAGATACAGAGAGAGAATATGTAATAAATATAATAAAAGAGGCTATCAACTTGAGATTGAGGGTGTTTAGAAGCCCGTAGAGAGGGATTTTTGCCAATGGACTTCAAAATAGGAGGGCCCTGAGGGAGTCAAAGAAGAAAGTGATAGAATTAATTCTATTTTACTTAAAAATACTAAAATTACTGTTGCTAATATATGATGAGTTTATTAGTTATAATTTAAAACTTTTTCCAATTCAACTTTTCTTTTTGAATCTCCTCTGAAACCTAGGGAGGCCTCAAACTTGATAGCAATCATACTACCTCAACTTTCCAAGTGCTGAAATTACAGGTATGAGCCACCATACCTGGATTCCCAGATTAACTTCTATTACATAAATAGCTTAATAAAAGCTCTTCTTGATCCTCAATCATCTTTCATATTTAAATGATACCTGAGACTGAAAAGTTTAAGAACTGCTTTTTCATGATTTAGATAAGGTGAAGAAGGTAAAGTAAACAAATGATATGAAACAAATAAATACTCTCAAGCAGCTTTGGCAATCAGTGAGAACAGACCAAGCAGCTAGACAGATGTGAGACAAATACGTAAGACAGTCATTAAGGCAAACCAGAAAATTAACAACTGAAAAGCTGACTGGTCAAAATGCAGAAGAGAATGTCACTTGCATTAAACAGAAGTTGAGTAGCATAAGCTGAAGGTACAACAGGATATTGAAGCAAAACTTAACGACACGAAGATATTAACCTGACTTACAGTCACAAATCTTACAGAACAACTAGGCTGGTAACAAACTGCAACAAACAGTTAAAACCAATGCCAATGGCATTTAATTCAAGCCAGAAAAGCAGAGAGCCAAACCATTTCTGTTGCCCACACATTTCACCCAGAAAATACATCCTAGAGGGTAAAAATTAAGCTGCTTGATACTGGCTTCTTCTGAACAAGCATTATACACATACCAAACATCTGGGCATGGCAAAGCTAAGTACAAAATCATTCCTACAGCTCCCAAAACTTAATTATGCTATGAGACAGTAAGAGTGACTGAAAAGTAACCAGCAAAAATATGTATCATCCAGGCCTTCTTTTTTTTTTTTCTTTTTTAAAGCCAACATGTATATCAAAGGACCATTTACTGTTAAACAATTTAATTAATTTTCTAAAATTAAATCAGGTCTGCAGATATCACCAGAAGAGAAAGAGTTCTCTCAGGCTGTTCTAATTCCATGAAACAATTCCTTGCATGAAGTGTACTGGGAACCTCCTCCTCCATGAACTGGCAGCTCTAAGGAAACTCATTCCTGGTAATTAGTCCTAGACCACTGGCCAAGCACAGCCAGAAGCACCGTGGCCAATGTTTTCTGTGTGGCCACACGTTTCCTTGTACACAGCTGCAGGTTTGGCACTAAGACAGCTTTCAGTGGCACCTCTATGATCTGGGTTTGTGTATTTAAAAGCCACCCACACAACTACTATTAGTCAGAAGCTGCGCCAGAAAGCCTGGGAAGAGGCTGACCCTTGCTCCTCCAAGTCCTGGGTACTCAGAAAACTCCATGGAAACCTTTAGGGATGCATCCATCAAAAATACAGACATGTATTTATAAAAATAGGAGAAAACTTGCACAATCACTTTAAATGCATTTGCTGAAATGTATCCTTTCAAGACACATGCAATGTTTGGAAAGTTATAACATGTCCATGTGTTAAAATTTATGTTTATTCTTTCATAATAAAATTATTCAAGTAAATACATTTTCATTATTAGCAGCAAAGTCCTTAAAAATCTTACTATGCCTTTCAAGTAATAATTTAACTATAATTCCCTATTATTCCTAAGCATTTTCTGTAATGAGATTATTATTCTTACTCAGATATCATTAATATGTAGTCTATCAATTAAGAGTTACACTTACTAAATAAAGACTTCTTTTAGTTGAATATCTCAACATGTTATATTCATTTAACCTTCCATGAGACAGTTTTGAATCTTTATGTTTAAAAGCAATGTCAACTAAAATATAAGGAATTATTCCTTTGGAACTGTTTGTATTGGCCTTAATTATCATTTGAACAAACTTACTCGTTTGAAGTCATTCATATTTGTTGCCTGGACTGGAGTACCAATGAAAGTAAAATATGAAATTCTCGTTGTCTCTTCTTCACCTTGATTAGACTGAACAAATAACTGAAAAAAAATCAATTTATAGTTTATAATTATCATCTGGTTTTCATGAGCATGCTTGAGATTTAGTCTATTTGCTTTCTTAATAAAAATACCTTCCACCTTTGTAAGGATTAATCCAGATTTCATTCACTTACACTAGTATTCCTAAAAAAAAAAAAAACTACCCATTCTCTGTCTGTACTGCAATTCTCACCTTCGCTAGAGATGCCCTGGCAAGATGTTCACATATGCAAGTTCATGGTAATTTAGTGTGATGGTACAGAGAAGTCATAATTAAATCCTTTACAGAGAACACTAAGGGTGTGAAATCCATGATTACAATGGGTAGACTGTTGTTGATAATTTTATTAAAATCATAGTCTTTCAACAGTGGAAAATCTCTGTAGTTGTATCCTTTCTAACATTCGTGCACCTATTCTATTTCCTAGAACAGGAGAAGAAATGATATTAGAAATCTGTTCCTGAGGCTATGCTCTGCCCTCTGATGTGCTTTAAGGCCCAACTCTAATTTCTCTATTTTAAAATTTCCCTCGGTATATAAAGAATAGAAGCAGTACTTATACTGGATTTTGAAAAAAAAAATTTCCTCCATTAAAAAAAATACAATTTAAAAATGTTCTCTATTTAAAAATATTGTCTCTCACTGAACAGCAAGCACAGGGTCTGCATGAGTGCACTAGGTCCTCTGCATACATATTGTAGCTTGAGTTTAGTGTTTTAATGGGTGAGTGTGTGAATGAGTGGATCTGTGATACAAGTGCCTTCTCTTGGCTTCTTTTCCTTCTGTTGATTTGTCCTGTCTAACTTGGACGTGATGGCTTTTGTTTCATCTTATTACATTCTATTCCGTTATGTTTTGTTCTCTTAGAAGCCTGTTCTTTTCCAATAGGAGATACATGGATGGGAGGGGACGTGGGAAGGAACTGTGAGGAGTAGAGGGAGAAGAAACTGTAATCAAGATATACTGTATAAGGAAAAAATATATTTTCAATAAAAGGAAAAAATACTGTCTCTCTTCCTTGGATAATGTACGTAGTTCCTTCTAAGACATTACTTATCAGTCAATTTTTATTGTTTTCATTGGCAACCATAGACTCCTTTCAAAGAGTTTATCTAATCAATTTAAATATAATAAATACAGTATTCAATCAGTTCCCAGCTTACTTATATCTGGCTTTTTAAATGTGAGTACTCCTGCTTATGTTGTTTATACTTACCTGTTTTTAAAATTCACCTTTCTTTGATTAAACTGATCAAAACTATTACTTTATTTCAACATTCATCATCATAAAAGTGATAGGTATGCCTTATGGGTCTTTACTTAGGTCACTGACTAAATGTATGGATATAACACACAGAGTCTTGAGTGATAGTATTCTACTATTATGTGACCTTCGTCTTCAACTTCATTTAGAAAAAAATGTCTCAATTAAAGCTCAGCTTGCTCACACAGCTTCATATGATCACAGAACTGTCTAAGTCTAATTGAAACCCTCCTAAAAAGAACTTAACAGTGTTCTCTGATTATCTATCGATCATCCATTGAAATAAAGGTATCTAATCAGTGTGCTCTGTGGCTGATTTCTCCTTTCTTTTCATAGATGCATCACTTAGAATCATCTCTAGCACTATTCAATACTCAGATATACCTTTGCTGTCTCTTAAAATGTAAAACCATCTTTTTCAAAACGTCATTTTTAGCTGGATATAGTGGCTCATGCCTACAATTCCAGCACTTGGAAGGTTGAGACAGAAGGACTGTTGTGAGTTCAAGGCCAGCATGGGCTATACAGTAAATCTCAGGCCAACCTGGGCTAGAGTAAGAATCTGTCTCAAAAAAATTTTTTAGAGCCAGCTTCAGTAATATCACAGTAACTACACTGAAAGACAACAATCCAGAAAATTAAGCAGGATTTTCACACAGGTACCAGCACTCATCACCAACAGAGACAAAGTGATCATAAATATCTCCAGTTTAAATGTAAATGTTCTAGAACTGACAGATCCTATGAAGCATCCTCCATTCCTCCAATTTATTGGACAAATATTTCTTTAAAAGATTATTTAGAATCACCTAGAATCACAGGACAGCATTGCTGCCCACCAACCAGAGGAAGATATAGTAAGGAAATGCTACTCACAGTTACACTGTTAACATTCTGAAATTTAACATAACGAAGAGGAACAATGCCGTCTTCTTTAATGTCATCTTCTGTCAGCTCCAGAGCTTGAGTTGGCTCACTCCTTTCTGCCTCCTCAAAGTCCATAGACCGGGGTAGGTTGATAAAAATTTTTACATATTTAGGACCCTGACCTATGAAATGGTTTAAAGAAAAACATTGAAGTGCTAAAAACTACATACTATACATTTCCTTTATTATCAAATGCATCTTATACAGAATCCTGTGTGGGGCCACATATATACTGGCACACAGCAACATACACATCTTCATAAACCTCTACTAAAACCTCTAAGAATCTGAATATTGACAGTCAATCCTTTTCCCTCCAATACTCATTTGCTGGTATCTTCTGAGCCTAGTTTCACTCTATATTAGAAATATCTGCTAAATATTATGAATATTTAGGAAAATAAAACACAGACACACAAATAAGTTTCTGCCCTCAATGTCAAAAGAGGTGCTATGAGCAGGATGTGGTGGGGCACACCTTTAATCCTTGCACTTGGGAGGCACAGGCAAGCAGATGTACATACCAAGTTCCAGGCCAGCTAGGGCTTCATGGTGAGATTCTTAAAAATATCTGAAAACTATACTATAATAAATATAACACTATCATTGAGGAGCTATATGGAAGGTGGCAATGGATTTTGGTAGTATATGCAAGTGAACAACCTTTCATAAAATAAACAGTATACTAAGTTATGGTTGCCAACAACTGCTACAATTTGTTACCCATGAGGAAAACATCATTAGCATTAACACTATCCAAAAAGGAATTAATCATAAAATTACCATCTTTTACTTTTCTTAGGTATTAGATAAGGAATATGCCCATGGTTACACCACTTAACTCCTTCACTGCCAGTATATGATTTAAAACTCATATATGTGGCTGATTAAATAATACTGATTTCTATAGAATTTACTTACACAGTACTTCATAAAATTTTATTATTGAAAAAAGATTAACATATGAAAGTATATAAAAACAAGTAAGTAAACATTATTAAACAAAGTTTGGCCAGGCATGGTAGCATATGCCTTTAATCCCAGCACTCAGGAGGCAGAGGCAGGCAGATTTCCTGTGATCCTGGTCTACATAAAGAGATCTAGGACAGCAGAGCTATAAAGAGAGACTCTGTCTCAAAAAAAAACACAACAAAAAATGAATAAAACAAAAATACAAAACCCAAAGGCTTGGCTGTTTCTGTCAATCAGTTAAAAAAGAAAATCAAACTAAACAAAGCCCCTCACTTCTAACTCCCTTCTCAAAAAAAAAAAAAAAATCAACAGTAATGGGGGGGGTGTTGGAAAAAGAAAAAGGCTTGATCATTTATGAACCATAAACCCGAGTCTGTAAAGCTACACTGTTATGCATGACCATGACAGTGTGTTACACAAAAAGCAGGGCCTGGAGCCTCATTTTATCACCCAGAACAAGAACAGTTTGAAAACAATCATTCCTTTTTTCTTTTTTTCAGACAGGGTTACTCTGTGTAGCCCTGGGGCTGTCCTGGAATTCACTCTGTAGCCCAGGCTGGCCTTGAACTCACCCTCCTGCCTCTGCCTCCCGAGTGCTGGTGTCACCACTGCCTGGCCAATAGATTCTAAAAATGACTGTTAAAAATCTATAAATGGGAGGAAGAAATCGGTACTCTGTAAATTAAGGGGAAACAAACATTTTTACTTTAACTCTTAATTAATTCCGCATTATTTGGCCATTTATAATCTTCAATGAACAACACAAGGTAGACCGACCTCTATTTAATAAAAAGGTTTTAAATGTAAGCTAAGAGGTTTAACAAAGTAGAAAGTCAGTTTTTAATTGACAGTCCTTTACTCACCATTATCTGGTCCTTGAAATTTCATGGAATAAAGCTTAACAGGTTGATTGAATGCCACGGTAATAAGTAGCTGTGAAAGAAACAGTTTAATTATAAAATGATTTGTCAGCACCATCAATACAAAAAAAAGGGGAGCTAAAATAAATGTGGCACAAACCTAGTTCATCTAACAAAACCATTGTAATAGAGATTCTGTAAGCTGAAATTAACTTCATTAGTTTGGCAGTTAGGAACAGCGACCACCAATTATTTACATACATAAAAATTAATGCAGTAAACTTAAGATCTGGGGCTGGAGAAATGGCTCAGCATTTACCACCACTGGTTGCTCTTCCAGAGGTCCCACATTCAATTCTCAGCACCTACAGGCATCTGTAATCCCAGTCCCAGGGACCCAACACCCTCTTCTCACACCTCCAAGGGCACCAGGCACGATGTGATATACAGACTTAAATGTAGACAAAAAACTCATTTACGCCAGGCAGAGGTGGCACACGCCTTTAATTCCAGCACTCGGGAGGCAGAGCCAGGCAGATCTCAGTGAGTTCGAGGCCAGCCTGGTCTACAGAGCAAGATCCAGGACAGGCACCAAAACTACAGAGAGACCCTGTCTTGGGGAAAAAAAAACAAAACACCCATTCGCATAAAATAAATAAGTATTAAAAAACTAAGATCCTGTGACCTACGAACTGGCAAGTAACATACATTACCAATAAATGAAACAAAATTCCCAAATGAAATAAATGTAAGTCCTAAATTTGAATATGTAGTTTCTAGTGTGTCAAATACTTAGCCATACCACTTAACTACGGGAAGGTAATACACAGTCATGCAGAAAGACTGACCCTCACATGAACTGTAATCTAAAATTCACAAAGCAGGACTCTTGGGACCAGGCATGTGGCTCAGTGTGTGCAGTGCTCTGTGTAGTGGGAGGGAAGAAAGGCATTAAGATCTCTCAAAGACCTCCTCAAACTGCATCCTAAATTTCTCTAAAAGGCCACATAAGACACCAATGTTGTCCAGATTCTCTCAGAAACTCTAAGTTATCCATAAAGTTTCTTTCCATTCAAAACTGTGTTTACTGCTCATTAACTATACTCCCACTCTGTAAGAAAGACTTCCTTTAACGTAAGATTTCAGCAAAGCTGTAGACAATGCTACTGTTTACACCGTCATGTTTTTAGGCAACTACACACAGGAATATGGTATAAATCATAGTTCTGAAGCTGTAATAAAGTAGCTCTGGATAGAAAAAAGGGTTTAGACTTATTATTTCAAAGTCATATTGAGGTCTAAGAAAACAGCTAGATTATTTCCTCTGGTTACACCACTCACTTTTTTTTTTAAAAAGATTTACTCATTTATTATGTATAGTGCTCTGCCTGCATGTATACTTGCACCCCAGAAGAGGGCACCAGATCTCATTATAGATGGTTATGAGCCACCATGTGGTTGCTGGGAATTGAACTCAGGACTTATGGAAGGTAGAGCAGCCCTAGTGCTCTTAACCTGAGCCATCTCTCCAGCCCCATCACTTACTTTTTATGCTTCACTCACAATAGTGTGTCAAAACATAGCAAGCATGGCATGTGCAAGGGGCTTAAATGCTGGTGAAAAGCAGGTGAGAGGGGAAAGCTAGAAACAGATCAGGTCAAGACATCCAAAAGATGCCAGTAAAGAGTTATTACCTCTTACAAGAAGTATGGTACAACAAATATGCAGACTTAGACTTTATAAACCTTTGTGACCGAGTAGAAGAGGGAAAAACCCCAACAGTGGAACAGAAAGTAAATTAAGAAAAGTAACACCCAGAAGATAAAGATGGTGTGATTAAGGTGGTTACCCGACTGCTGTGGGATGGTCTGTATGTCAAATGTGTTGCTGATTGGTCAATGAATAAATCACTGATTGGCAGTGGCCAGGCAGGAAGTATAGGCGGGACTAACAGAGAGGAAAATTGAGAGAACAGGAAGCTGGAGAGGGAGAGACTGCCAGCCACCATCAGGATAAGGAAGATGTAAAGTACCGGTAAGCCACAAGCCATGTGGCAAGGTATAGATTAATAGAAATGGATTAATTTAAGCTGTAAGAACAGTTAGCAAGAAGCCTGCCACGGCCATACAGTTTGAAACCAATATAAGTCTCTGTGTTTACTTGATCGGGTTTGAGCGGCTTGGGACTGGCGGGTGAGAGAGATTTGTCCTGACTGTGGGCCAGGCAGGAAAACTCTAGCAACACCCGACTTTCTCTGGGGCAAAAGCAACGGAGGGAAAAGAAGAAGACAGTCTGTTTTTATCTGGGACTAAGGAGACAGTCTTCCATGGGAAGGCTTATCTAACCAATCTCTACTGCTCAGACACAAGCTATCTGGGGAGGGAAAACACGGGAAGCAGTATTAAAACAATGACCAAGTACTGGTGGTGATCTACGCAGCAATGGAGCCAACCATGAGCTCCGCAATGTTCTTCAGAGCACATGGCAGCTCACACAGGACACAGAGAAGAAAATGCAGATAGTGAGGGGACAGAGTCAAAGGAACTGACAGCTAACAGGAGAAGAGAGACGTGAACCACGAGGCGAGACTACTACAGGAAACAAGAGCTCACAGAGTGGCAGTGCCTGCCAGCCTTAACATAAACATTGAATTACCTGCTCATCACAGTCAGATTCCAAGAAGGACATGTCTTTTCGTAAACAGTTGTCAAAGCCATGTTCATCACTTTCATTAAGACATTCACAACCAGCTTTGTTAATAAAAGGCATTAAATCCATCTGAAATAAAAGAAATCAAGAACTTAGGCAAAACATTTGGTTTTAGCATAAAAAAATATAAAGACTCGGATCTATGGTTCTTTCTAGATTCAGTGATTTTGAAGAAAATGTTTGCTTTAAAACAGTTACTGAAGCCGGGCGGTGGTGGCGCACGCCTTTAATCCCAGCACTCGGGAGGCAGAGGCAGGCGGATCTCTGCGAGTTCGAGGCCAGCCTGGGCTACCAAGTGAGTCCCAGGAAAGGCGCAAAGCTACAGAGAAACCCTGCCTCGAAAAACCAAAAAAACAAAACAAAACAAAAAACAGTTACTGAAACTTTCATGCTGGCCTTTCCACCTGAATTTCTGACTAAAATCTATCACTAATTATTAAAACAAAATCTAGGCTTAGCCTACATGGCAAGGTATTACAAACCCAAATTGTAGGCCTTGGTATTCCCCAGGACATATTCTACAAAGAACTTATGACTGTAACTATGTGTTTCGTGTAGCCCAGAAGCCTCTCTCAAGGACCCAGGATACTTGTAAGACAGCACTTGAAGTAGATGTAAGAAGTGCAGAGCTGAGGGTCCACTCTGGTTACACAGTGAGTCTGAGGCCAACCTAGACATACATGAGATCTCATCTCAAACAAAACCAAACCATACACAGCAAACACACACACACACACACGCACAAAAACAACACCCAAAGAAACTAACACCACCAACAAATGTAATCATCAAAAGAATAAGACCCCTGTCTCCAGGACTTCTACAAGGGCAAGCTAGCAAGCACCAGCAGCCTAATCCCATTCATCCTAAGCAGTACTCTGTTCTTTCACTTCTTTTGGGGGGGGGGGGGGGCGTTTCAAGACAGGTTTCTCTGTGTTGTTTTGGTGCCTGTCCTGGATCTCGCTCTGTAGACCAGGCTGACCTCGAACTCAGAGATCTCCCTGGCTCTGCCTCCCGAGTGCTGGGATTAAAGGTGTGCCCCACCACCGCCCAGCTGTACTTTCACTTGACTCTATGGAGTGAGCCCCTATGGCCCCTCCTCCTTTCATAACATCCAGATAAGAACGGGGCTCAGTCCTTTCCCTTATAGCATTTTCCTCATTCTTAACTGTGTTTAAAACGTTTTATAAGTATAGGGCTTCCTGTGAGATAATTAAAGCCTGACCCAGGGATGATTCCAAGCTGGACAGAACTAAGGCTCAGACCAACACAACCTTAGTTCAGGTCCAGGCACTACAAGGACTAAAATCAAAGGTATCAAAGGTGATGACTGAAATTACCACATTAGTAGAATCTCACTAGCTTAGCTATAGATAACATCCCCCTCGTCCCTCCCCCCCCCCCTGCAGGTCATAGGGGCACAAGATCCTAAGCACTTTTTTAAGGAATTTGGAGGTTGCTTTTCTTTAGGACAAACCAGTTAAAACCACTGACACTGCAGTGGAGCCTGGGCAAGTGTCCCCAGGGAACTTCTGTCTAGTCATTTCTGAACACGGACAAGATCACCAAGTGTAACTAACTGCAGAAAGCACCAGTCCCCTCACCTTCTCTTCCCTCCAACCACCAGTTCCCAGGCTTCAAAACCACTTCATCCCAAAAGCAGCCTGGGGGCACAAATGAGAACCGTGTTTTCTAGTCTTCCTGCTTGGCTGACTTGTAAATCAACTTTATCTTGTACACCAGGATGACAAGTACAATGACCTAGTTCAGTAATTATCAACCCTGGCTCAAAAACACTGTTTACACGTTCTGATTGGGTGTTATTTTAAATAAATACTAATTGTATAGACTAACAGAAAAATAAAGATAGATCACCACACACAACCTGCACACAAAAGAAGCTCTTGGGTCTACCTGACTAGTTTTTCAGCTTGAATTTAAAGGGTTTACAGACAGGAACACAGTGATTTGCTTTTCTGAACCTAATATAAAATTTTTAATGTAGTAGCTTCAACTTGAGAAACAAGTGTAGACCATAAAATACTATTTCTGAACTCTGCTTCCCTCCTGAATAATCTCAAACCATGCACAACTGTATTAGAACTATTTATGCTATGCAGCTTCAAAATATCCTTTGAGTTCTTCAGCCTTCATCTCAATTAAAAAAAAAAAAAGTACCTTACTGTTAAAATACATTGAACTAAAGCTACATTTGATTCTAAACCAAACAAAACTAGACTGCAGGAAATTAAGTAACATAGGCACTCAGTACACTGAAGCCATTTTACATAACTATAAAAATGAGAAATATTTGTCAATGCTATGTTTTCCACTCATAGAAGGAAAACAAGCATTAGAATATGGCTACTTAATAGTTTAGAAATTAATTTCAAGTGGAAGTAAATTTAGCAGAAGAAATTTAGGGGGAAGTGATTTACAATGTAGACAAGGTTATAACAGATGAACGAAACTCAATAGTCCACTTTAGTTTGAAAAATCCTCATTTGAAAATATTTTGAATTAGTAAGAAAACAGTAACTTTCATTTCAAGCAAATAACACCCAATTCAAGACTCTATTTTTAATCTTCTGATGACATACGTAGCCCTTCGGAATGTCTGTGTCCTCATTGCTTCCAGGATCATTTTCTAGATGCTGCTTGATTTTCTCTTCTAGTCCCACAGCATCTGCTCCTTGATACTGATCAATTCTCACTTTGTTTCGAAAAAACAAAAATGTAGGTGTTGCTGATATATTGTTGGTGGCAGCTGTTCCCTAGAATTGGCAAATTAAACAGTGATAAAATTAAAAGAAATCTCTACCATTTTGATTTTTCATTCAACAACTTTAAGCCAATTAGAACAGCACAAGTCCTAACCAGAAAGGTAAAACAATGTATTCCTAATTGTTGAGAAAGAGCAGACTGGGCTGAAAAAGGTGGCTCTTTCAGAGGACCGGAGTTTAATTTCTAGCACCCACATGGCAGCTCATAACCACCTGTATGACTCCATCCCAGACGATCTAATTCCCTCTTCTGGCCTCTGCAGGACACAGGTACACAGGTGGTACTCAGTCAGGCATACAAGCAAAATACCCACGTATATTTAAAAAAAAAAAACAACCCAACAAACAAAATAAACAAACAAAAAACAAATGAAAAAAATCTTTTTTAAAAGGCAGACCTATTGTAATGGAGTTCCTATGGAAATACAGGTATATTATCCATAGACCCACAATAGAGAACAGCTGTTTTTGTTTTATAAAACATTAGTTTTATTGTCATGTACTTTATACAACAGAACTACCTTCTAATACAGAAATTGTGCTTTATGGCAGGCAGCTTTCTTATAATTACAAAGTATGAATTTTTCAAAAAGAAATAACCAAAGGCTGGGCATGGTAGTATACACCTTTAATCCCAGCACTTGGGAGGCAGAGGCAGGCAGATTTCTTGAGTTTGAGTCCTGCCTGGTCTACAGAGTTCAGGCCAAACAGGGCTAAATAAGACTGTCTCAAAAGAAAACAAACAAACAAAAATCAAACAAAAACCAGAAAGGTAATGATGAGTCAATATAAACCACTGCTGCTAAGAAAAAGTATCCACCTGAAAAAGAAGAGCCAGTCTATACCACCTGTCAAAAAAAAGGTGACAGGGCAACGTCTTTTGTCTTAAAAAAGAGTTGCCCTCATTCAATTTCTACTCTTACAGAACCGATTTCAGGTCATCATAAAACTAATAGCTATCTTTTACATTTTTGCTCTAGTTCTACAAATTAATACGAAATGGAAATTAATAAACACCAGAGCACCACTGTTGAAACTTTTCATGACAGGATTTAAAAACCAGCAGAGCAAATCTGTCCTCTCACATAATGCAAGTTGTATGAAGAGGCACAGAATATACATCATTCAAAGAAAAAAAGCATAAAGGTAACTAAGGGATATCTTCTCTAAATGTCACAGCACTACTTTAAAAAAAAAAAGTGAGACAGAAATATGAGTTATACATGTACACACGTGATCTTAAATTTCCTGGTATGCATAATAAAAAACTAAAGTAAGTAAAGTCAATAATATATTTTAGTTAAGTCAATATGCACATTTCAACATATTCAACATAAAGATAATGACGTTATTTTTCTTTCATAAACTAATATACCTAAAATAAGGACAGTGATACCATCTATTAACATTTAATGTAGGTAAACAAAACAAAAGTGTGTAATATTGGACTTACACAAGTTTTTCCTAACATTAAAAAAGTTTAAAACAACTCAGATTGGGCAAAAATATATGCAGAACATAACAAAGTACTTTAACTCTAGCAGAGGGCAAAGACAAAACAGTAAAAACAAGAAAGACATCCAAAAGAAAAGCGCTCGGAATAGGCAACTTGACAAGTGAGATACTTAAGATGAAAATTAGTTAATAGGGGCATTAAGGAAATGCAAATTGAAGCTACTTTTACTGCAGCAGGTAAAACAAACCTGTGGTATTCAGAATGAGGAGGAACTGAACTTTCTTTCATGCATTAACTTAACGCACAAAGTATATCCACTTTAAGGGGAGGGTGGGCACATGGAACTTAGAAGATAAGATTATAAAGTGATGAAATTAAATCAAACTACTATCAAAAATTCTCCACTATAACTTTATGATCAATAAGCCAATGCCTCAGCAGAAGATAGAGAACTACTAAGTAACCTATTACTTTAACAACATTGTATTAATTTCACCTCATATTTAAAAAAACTTGAAATAGTACTTTCCTAACCAATGTAGTCAAAATGGCATTCATAAAGGAGTAAGCATCATGTAAATAAAGACATAATGGGTAATATTAATGTTGGATTTTGATCTGTTTCATGAAAAAAGAGGGGAAATAATGCTCTTCTGCCTTACCTGGCACTGATGTACATCTACTTCCAAGAAAACTGCCTGTGGATATTTATTACTCATAGAACTGAATGCTGGAGCAATCCTCAAACACGGTCCACACCTGTGAGAAAAATAGTTATATTCAGTAAAATAATACAAAGACTGTACTAACTTAAATCTATAAAAGCATTTATCAAGTTAAACAAAACAAGGCAAACTGATATTCTTGGCTTTAGGCACTCTAATATATTCATCTGGGTCATTTATAATACTGTATTAATACCATATTGCTTTAATGAGAACAGATACAATATTAGGTCTCAGGCTTAAGATTGTAAAATCTTTCTGTTTTGTTCCTATTGAAAGAATGCAAAGCGGGGATGGAGAGATGGCTCAGAGGTTAAAAGCACTGCTTGCTCTTCCAAAGGTCCTGAGTTCAATTCCCAACAACCACATGGTGGCTCACAACCATCTGTAATGAGATCTGGTGCCCTCTTCTGCCCTGCGGGGATATGTGCAGACAGAACACTGTATATATAATAAATAAATAAATCTTTAAAATTAATTAATTAATTAAAAAAAGAAAGAATACAAAGGAAAATAAAGGGATATGCTTCTAAATTGAAAAAAAAGTCAATAATGTCAAATCAATCCTCCTTGATTAGGATTAATATACAATCCCAAATTTTTAAAATGAAACTAACAAATTTATAGTCTAACATTTATGGGGAAACACAAAAGACAACCTAAGCTGAGGTTTAAAGCTTTAAAAAAAGAATTACCAGGTATTAAGACCTAGCATAAAGATTTATTAATTAATAGCACCCAATACAATAGGTTAAATGTGTTATTTGAAAACATTTAGAACTCAAAAACCCCAACAAACTCTGAAAGCTCAAACACTCTGAACCCACACATTTCAGATAAGGGATAAAGAGTGTGGAACCTAACACAATTACCTTCTACAACCTAAAGAACAAGGCTTAGTGCGGCAGTGCATGCCATTAATCCCAGCACTTGGGATTAATGTAGGTAGGTCTCAGTGAGTTCAAGGCCAGAATGTCTACATAAAAATTCAGGAATCATTAACATGAGGTCATTTTAAACAGGCTAAAATATACATACAATTTGAAACTACTGAAGAGAAAAATACTTGAAGCACTATGTAAGATAATTTTAAATTTCATAAAAATTATTCATAAATATAATCAAAGATAATTTGTTAATCCAAAAAATATTAAAAGAAAAAATAAAGGCAAGTGGGGCAATGAGAAATATAGCAAATGACAGACTCAAATCTAACTATACCAGTAATATTAAATATAGTTTGAGAAATTAAATTAAAAAATTAAAAAACAAATTATGACCAGGTATGGTGGCACACACTTTTCATTCCAGCACTGGGGAGGCAGAGGGAGACTGATCTCTGCAAACTAGAAGCCAGCCTGGTTTACAAAGCAAGTTCTAGGAGAGACCCATCTCAACAAACAAACAAACAAACAAAAAGGAACTGAAGGCCAAAAGGTAAGTAAGTTGTGCTATTCAAAACCCAACATCCTAGTTCGTAAAAGGGCCACAGGTAGGACAATTTATAAATTCAACCCAATCCCAGTTCTTTTTAAAGGAGCTATTCAGTTTTTATTAATAAATAAAATTTTTCCTTATAGCCATAATATTAAATGATATTCATAAGCTTGATAACTGCCCCCCTCCCCACCTTCTTCTATAGCCAGTGCTCTTTTTTTTAGCAAAGCTTGTATAAATATACATGCAAACAAGGATAAAGAAAATGTATGCACTTTCTAAAGCCTCATTTCAGAAGGTTTGTTTTTCCACAGGGGATAACTTTCAAACAGGCCATTTCTAAATGTATTGTAGTTACTAAAACACAGTTATATCCATAACTGGTTATGTAAATCACATAAAATACATTTATTTTAAGAAACTTTATTAATAAAATAATATACTTTGGCCATTTGCTACATTCACAATTCCCAAAAATGTTAAATTCCTGTTACCTCATTTAAAGTTTTACAACTGTCAAGAACAGGGCTATGGGAAAGCTCAGTAGCAGATCATTTGTATATCATATGTGAGACCCTAGATTCAATCCCCAGCCAAAAAATAAAAACTCCAAAGAATTATGTCCTAGACGCTAACTCTTTAACTACCATTGTCAAAAGTCCATAACAGATCTTCAGTATTTAGTTGCTGTTCTTTATAAAGCGATGGCCATATACTACATGCTGCATGCTCATGAAGAAACTATATACTCTTGAAAAGGAGCAAGACTACAAAATACAATTCTTCTAACAGTTTTAGAATCCAAAAGAGATGGGAAGGAGCCCAAAGATGCAAGAATCTGGGACTGTTAATGATGATGTATTTATTTTTCTTGTTTGTTTTTTGTTTTTGTTTTTTTGTTTGTTTTTGTTTTTCGGAGCTGAGGACCGAACCCAGGGCCTTGTGCTTACTAAGCAAGCACTCTACCACTGAGCTAAATCCCCAACCCGATGATGTATTTCTTATACTTAATGTTGATTATAAAGATGTGGTCACTTGAAAAATTGATCAAGGTATACATTTTAATAATTAGTGTATTCTTGAATGTTAGTCATCAAAGCTCCCCTGCCAAAAAACAAACAAACACACACTTCCGATTGAAACCACTCCTAGGTTTCAGCATGCCCTGGCCTTCGCCACTTCACTAACTGCACTCACAGATAGTTATCTGTCTAGCTTCTACAGGCTACTGGGCTATCTTATGTTGGTAAACTACTGTCAGTCCTTAGCAATTTTGTAATATGTAATTAATACTTTGTACATGTTAGTAATATACTTTTGAACAAGCTAAGGTACTACAGGAACTCAACATCCTCATACACACCACTAGCATCCTTCCTGAATGGTTAACTATGACACCTGCTTTAAGAAAACAAAATACAGGGTAAACTGTCTGTAACAGGAAGATTTGACTTACTGGGAAAAAAAAAGTAATATATTCACTATTTCAAGACAAAAATCATTCATATCATACTAATGGGGAAGAAACTACACATTCTTTGAGCTTAGCATACCACAAACCAAAACAATAAAACAGCACTTTTGATAACCACTCAATGTATCTGGCCATATTTAAGAAGCAACTATTTGGAGACAGTTATTTTAAAAATCTTACCAGAATAGGTATTTTTTAAAACACCTTCCCAAAGATTTTATTTTATGTAAATGTTTTGCCTGCATGTATTTTATATATATATATATAACATCACGTTGATGTCTGATGCAGTCTGATGCAGTTGGAGATCAGAAGAGGGTATCATATCCCTTGGAACTGGAGTTACAAGTGGTTGTGAGCTACCATATAGGTGCTAGAAATTGAACCCAGGTCCTCTGGAAGAGCAGATCATGCTCTTAACTGCTGAGCTATCTTTCCAGTCCCAGAATAGGTATTAACATATAGAATTAATTCTCTTAACAGTATGAATAGATCAATATTCTTCTCATCTTGTCAGGAAAATATAAGAGAGTAAACTGAATTGTTGTTAGGTTATAATGTTAAGATTATAATGCAGATAGAATTGTAGTTAATTCATTTAAAGCAATCTGTATTAAAAAAATAGATTACAGCAGAGACTGAAAAATATATAATTTGCCAGTGTTCACAGTAGTGTTTTTGTTTGTTTGTTTTTTTTGGTTTTCAGAGACAGGGTTTCTCTGTGTAGTTTTGGTGCCTGTCCTGGATCTCACTCTGTAGATCAGGCTGGCCTCAAACTCACAGAGATCCTCCTGGCTCTGCCTCCTGAGTGCTGGGATTAAAGGCATGCACCACCACTGCCCCAGGTAGTGTTTGTTATTCTTAACAGCTAAAAGCAAACACAAGTCAAGTGTCCATCAACAGATGAATGGATAAAATGATATATAAACACAATGGGATATATTTGCAACTATAAAAAGGAATGAAATACTGAAACAAGCTATGCTACAGATGAATCTTGAAAACATACTAAGTAAATGACTAAAACGAAGAAAAAGGAAGCATACATTGTTATGGCTGCACTCACATAAGGTGCCTAAAATAGGCAAATTCCTAAAGACTGAAAGTACAATGGAGACTACCTGGGAGTAGGTTGATATGGAAAAGGTGGGATCTAACAGGTTTGTTCTTCTGGAAAAGTGAGGATGGGGAGTTACTACTTAACAGGCTGAGTTTCTACTTGAGATGATAAAGTTACTTTAGGAAATAATAGTGATGATAACACAATTTTGTGAATGAATGTACATAATACCACTAAGTTATACTCTTTGAAATTGCTAAAATGACTCCATATAGTGGTGAATACCTGTAATTCCAGCATTCAGAAGGCTAAAACAGGAGGATCACAAGAGGCTAGTCTGAGCTTAAAAAAAAAAAAAAAATTGCTAAAATCAATTTTATGTTATATATATTTTACTATTTAAAAAAAAAATGGAGCTGGGCGGTGGTGGCGCACGCCTTTAATCCCAGCACTCGGGAGGCAGAGGCAGGCGGATCTCTGTGAGTTCGAGGCCAGCCTGGGCTACCAAGTGAGTTCCAGGAGAGGCGCAAAGCTACACAGAGAAACCCTGTCTCGAAAAACCAAAAAAAAAAAAAAAAAAAAAAAAAAAAAAAATGGGGTTTGAGGTGTAAGTCCGTGGTAGAGTGCCTACCTAGTATGTTCAAAGGCCCTACACATATAATTAAGAGCTTTTGAAGATTTCTTGAACAAAGCAATCTATACACTGGTTGAGGAAAATTAATTTAGACAAATGGTTGATAAGCCATGTACAGTTTAGCTTAAAGCACATCATTGAAGTGAAAAATCAGATACTATAAAAAATTATGCCCTCAACCTAAAATGAGGGAACATTAGCTTTCCCTGAGCAGTTTCTGACAGACTTTATTGGACATAGTTCTTTGCAAGTCATCAAGTATAAATAAAGCCAGTTACACTGACAGCGAGCTCAGAGAACAATGAATGTCTTGACTGCCCATGTTGAAAGAATGTTAAGGATATTTTAAAAATAAGAAAGAATGCTAAGGGTAACTACAACCTTACTAGATTCCTAAGTGTTACCTAAATATTCTTTTAAACTAAAAATGTTCTCTAAATGTAAGCACATATTTGCCTTAAGTTTTTACAAAAATGTCATTTTCACTCCATAAAAACATTTTAATAAGTGATCCAGGTCTCCACCAATCAATCTCCACAGTGTGTTAAAAAGGACACCGCACCGCTAACAGAAAAGTTTCAGCAGCAGCAATGTTTCCCCACTTTCCTCACTTCAATCAATGACTACTTGTTACTCTGCCCCTGGTATGGTAAGGGGGTACGACGTCATTGAGTGACGGAGTGCAAAAGCTCCAGCTGACCAGAATTAGAAGGAAGAACTAAAAGTAAGATTCCTTATTGAAGCCATGCGTCCGCTCCTCTGGTGTCGGCTAGTCAACAAATGTGCAGGTACCGCTCCTCTGGTGTCGGCTAGTCAACAAATGTGCAGGTATTCTCCTAGTGTAAAAGCTACACACGTGACAAAATGGTTAAAGCTGAGAAGACACAGTTCTAGAATCCCAACATTCCTCTGAGACATGTCTTGATACCTGACAGTCTAATTTAGTAAATGTAAACGTATCAGGTCACATGGGCACCCTATTTCCCTCTATTAAATGAACGTACTGCCCTTTCTCAATTTTTTTTTTTTTTTTTTTTTTTTTTTTTTTTTTTTGGGTTTTTGAGACAGGGTTTCTCTTTATAGCTTTGCACCTGTCCTGGAACTCACTTGGTAGCCCAGGCTGGCCTTGAACTCACAGAGATCCACCTGGTTCTGCCTCCCGAGTGCTGGGATTAAAGGATTGCACCACTACCACCCAGCTTCCCTTTTCAGTTCTATGGGAGCCTGGCCCAAAACAAAACAAACATCACCAACAAAACCCTCTAACTTGTTTTCATCTCTATTTGTCCTCCAATCCCCTTAAGCTCATCTACATTTGTAAACTCAACATTCACTGAACTCTGTACTAGAAACTACAAATTTTTCCTCCGGCATTAAAAATAAAACAAACAACACAACTACACGGGCAAGTGTACCTGTTACATAAACAGTGGTACTGGAAGTGGACTGCTCCCAGTTGGTATATGTGTAAATAATGCCAGAAGAATCTCTAAATGAAGACCTCCAAACCTCCTAACTACGTAGTGCTACATACAAGAGATCTGTAAATACACGCTGAATTTTGGCTCTTAAGGCCTACTTCCAATTTACATATAAGAATATTATACACCCGGCCAGGCAGTGGTGGCACACGCCTTTAATCCTAGCACTCGGGAGGCAGAGCCAGGCGGATCTCTGTGAGTTCGAGGCCAGCCTGGGCTACAGCGTGAGCTACAGGACAGGCACCAAAACTACATAGAGAAACCCTGTCTCAAAAAACAAAAACAAACAAACAAAAAAAGAATATTATACACCCAATAAGCGACCCACCAGCTTTTTATCCTTTACACTGTAATTCTATCCAAAGACAACTAACATCTTTTCCGATCCCGATCATCTTAAATCATTAAGTTAAAAAAGGCAATTTGGTCAAACACAGAGGTCTGTCCAACCGGTGACACATAAATACTTTTTTGTGTCTGTATTTTGTTTCTGTAATCTGCATACACAGAGTAGCCTGAGACAAAACCAAGCATGGTACAAACACACTACGCACATTACAAAATCATTTTGTCCCATTAACTTAATTCAAAATGCACCAACTATGCCTTAAGACTACACGTTATTCGGACTAGATGGGCAGCCTCATCTGCATCTTTCAAAGGCTTTGCAGAAAACGCAGGTGAAGAGAAATCAAAGCGTTTGGAGAATTAAGCTTCCAGGGATACAAAAATGCGAATGATAGCTGGTTCTTCCCAAAGACAGGAACCGGCGCAGGCAGTCGAGGTTGAGACTCCTACAAGCTGAAAGAAGTCGCGGGCCGCCCCCAAGAGCAGAGGACATCGGCGAATTTAAAGACGGCGGGTAGGCATGTCCTGAGCGGCGAGACCCACCAGATTGGCCTCTGTGCCCGCCTGGAAGCCCCCCTAGGCACATCTGAGACCCTCTCTCTAGAGCCGAGGCCTAAACCTGGCAGCGGCCTGGGCGGTAGTCACCACCGGACATTCCAGAGCATTAAGACGACAGGGGAACTGGGACCCGGAAAATAGGGGCGGGGGGGATGGGGGAAAGGGACCCACAGAAGAATGCCAACAGGGCCCAGACTCGGCCTTACCCTCTCATGGTGAACTTGACCACAGCCAGTCTGGAGCCCGCCCCACTCAGCTCCGGCTGGAAATCTGGATCGCTCCCGACCGGCTTCACTCCCACCATCCTCACAGAGAACCCGGCAGCGCGGCCGCGACGCTTCCGGCTTCAAAACTTAAGAAGAAAGCCCGAGGGAGGCCCGAGGGAGGCTGCGGGAGGCCGGGGCCTGGACCGGAGCGGCGACCACGACGTGTCCTGCCGGAGCTCTGAGTGCCGAGTCACGCCAGGGAGCAGACGAGCCGAGGGGGAGGAGACGCGGCCTGGGAGGGGGAGCGAGAGGGGAAAGGCGCGCAGCACCCAGCAGCCACCGCGCCGAGGGAGCCCTGGCTCCGGCGCCTTTGACGTCATTTCCGCGCCTTCCGTTTGCTGGCCCACCTGAACCTTGCGCTGCTGGAATGGCGCAAGGCGCAGGCGCAGGCGCAGACGTAGGTCCAGGCTGTAGGAGTTTGCGGCTCCGCTAGCGTTCTGAATTTGCTTCCATCGCTTCACTGACCTGAAGTTTTGTTTTGTTTTTACTTATTACTTATTCATTCATTTATATCTATTTATCTTTACCTGTGTATCTATATATCTATATCATCTATTTATCTTTATCTATATCTGTGTATCTATCATCTATTTTTCTTTCTTCTTCTTCTTCTTCTTCTTCTTCTTCTTCTTCTTCTTCTTCTTCTTCTTCTTCTCTCTCTCTCTCTCTCTCTCTCTCTCTCTCTCTCTCTCTCTCTCTCTCTCTCTCTCTCTCTCTCTCTCTCTCTCTCTCTCTCTCTCTCTCTCTCTCTCTCTCTCTCTCTCTCTCTCTCTCTCTTTCTCTCTTTCTTTCTTTCCCGAGGATTTGACTTGGGGGAGACTGGGCGAAGGGACTCCCCTGTCCATTGTGGACCCATGACTATTGCCTAAGCTCATAAGGCATTCTTTGCAAGAACTTTAACAATGGTCCTGTCTTGTATTCTGGGCAAGTCACCACTCGCAAAATAGATGTTAGAAACATTCCCTTGCGGATTTCATTACATATGGGTGCTTTGAGCATTCGTTCGGAAAGTATTATGTACCCAAATTATGACAAAAAAGAAACAACCCCCATTTCTTCAGGAAGCCGGAGTCTAGTGACATACGACATTAACAAATTTAGATAAGAAAGTTGGAAATAAGTGAGATGAGCTTGGACCACAAGGTAAAGGGCAGATGATGTAACTTCAGAATTCAATCTTGTCATTGGGTTTTTGTTTTTGTTTTTTTAAAGAGACTATGAAGTGGAGAGGGAAAGTGGGAGGGGGAATACCAGAGGGATTGGAGCAGAGGGAGTTGGGATTGATTTGATCAAAGCACATATGTGTGTATGAAATTCTCAAAAAACGTATTTGACATAGGATATAAAAATTCATGAAAAAGGCCGGGCAGTGGTGGCGCAAGCCTTTAATCCCAGCACTTGGGAGGCAGAGGCAGGCGGGGCTCTGCGAGTTCGAGGCCAGCCTGGGCTAGAGCCTGAGTTCCAGGAAAGGTGCAAAGCTACACAGAGAAACCCTGTCTCGAAAAACCAGAAAAAAAAAAGTTCATGAAAAAGACCGGGCGGCGGTGGCAGTGCACACCTTTAATCCCAGCACTCGGGAGGCAGAACCAGGAGGATCTCTGTGAGTTTGAGGCCAGCCTGGTCTACAGAGTGAGATCCAGGACAGGCACCAAAGCTACACAGAGAAACCTTGTCTCAAAAAACCAATAAATAAATAAATACATAAATACATAAAATGCATGAAAAGACATACAATGACTGGCTATGAGTAAAGAAAAATAAGAATTTAATTTTGAAAAAGAAGTTAGACAATGAAAGGTAATAGGAATATTCCAGATAGAGGAACCAGGATGTGCAAGTGAGTTGAAAGGACAGACGATAGGCAATATTTGTTTAATACATGCATCAGACATGGTGTAGAGTATATATATATATTAGAATGTGTGTGTGTATATATAGATATATACATTACCTCATTTTATTTTCATGTTATATTATAGACAGTATAATGACTTTAATAGAGACAGGCAGAATTTGCCATGTCTCTGCAACTTCTCTTACGGAGATGAGCAAGCCATTAACTTCTCTGAACTTTGTTTTTCTTGTCTGAGAAGTAAGTGTGTTAATATCTACTTTATAGAATTGTGAAAGCTGAAAGTTATAGTGATGTTCAAACCAAATATACAATACCCAGTAAATACTGTTTGTAAACAGTTTATCATTTGGAGCTGTGTTAACATAATATCACAGAACAAGTTGCTTATCACAACATAAAATTCTCCAGCTGGAGAGATGGCTCAGCAGTTAAGAGCACTGGCTGCTCTTCCATAGGACCGGGGTTCAATTCCCAGAACCCACGGCAGCTTACAACTATCTGTAACTCCAGTTCCAGGGTACCTGACACCCTCATACAGATATACATGCAGGCAAAACACTAATGCACATTACAAATAAAAACAAAAAAAAGCCCAAAAACTTCATTTAAAAAAACATAAAATTCTTATGGGTCCAGGAACTGGAAGTCCACAAGATTAGGAACCAATGGAAATAAATGAGAAGGTCGCTGAAAGAGTTAGTTTCCTGGGGTCCTTCTTATTTTTATGTGACTTCCTTTGCACTATAGATTCACACGAGCACAATACAAACCAAACTGTTCCTTTCCTTACAGACATACCAGTCTTATTAAATTGGGACAGGCTGGCCAATTAAGAAACAGGAGGAGCACAAGAAAGGAAACCCTCCCTCCCTTTGCTCTCCCTCTGTTGCCACTGTCTAACACCCAGGTGATTTTGACCTAAACTACAATTCTATCTGCATTATAATCTTAACATTATAACATATAGTTCCAGGAAAGGCGCAAAGCTACACAGAGAAACCCTGTCTTGAACAAAAACAAACAAACAAATAGTGTAATGACACCAACAACAAACACAGGAGAAAGACGTCAGGGGCACACTGCCATTTACAACAGCATTTCAGACAACAAAACATCTTTAAATAGACATAGCCAAGGAGGGAAAAGACCTCTACAATGAAAACTACAAAGCTCTGAAAAAAGGGATTGAAAAAGACACTAAAAATATGGGGAGGTTTCCTGTGTTCACAAAGCAGTGGAATTAATATGTGGAAATGACCACCCTGCAGTTTACAGGCTCAATGCAATCCCAATCAAAATATCCACAAAATTCTTTACAGAAATGGGGGGGGATTGTGAAATTCATATAAAATCAGAAAACATCCCAGATAGAGCAAATTGAGCAAAAAGGGAATACTAGAGAAATTCCAGATGTCAAGATATATTGTGGAGTCATAAAAACAATATAGTATTGGCACAAAAAAAAGACATGTAGACCAACTAAACAAAATAGAAGAGTCAAGCATGGGCACTCTTAACTATAGCCATTGGAGACAAAAAGCATATACTGAAGAAAAGACAGCATCTTCAACAAATGCTGTTGGCCGGGCGGTGGTGGCGCACGCCTTTAATCCCAGCACTCGGGAGGCAGAGCCAGGCGGATCTCTGTGAGTTCGAGGCCAGCCTGGACTACCAAGTGAGTTCCAGGAAAGGTGCAAAGCTACACAGAGAAACCCTGTCTCGAAAAACCAAAAAAAAAAAAAAAAAAAAAAAAACAAATGCTGTTGGGAAAAGAGAGTGTTCACATGCAGAAGAATGAAAGTAGAGTTTACCACCTTACACAAAAACTAGCCCCAAATGAGTCAAAGACCTCAATTCAAACTTGAGTCACTAAAACTGCAGATGAAAATATAGTATCCATGAGACACAGGTGTAGGAAAGGACTTTCTGAAGGGGACTCCATTTGCTAAGGAATTAAAGCCAACAGTCAACAACTGGGAACCCATAACACTAAAAAGCTTCTGTACACCTAAGGAAACAACCAATCGAATGAAGAAGAAATCCACAGAATCTGCCAGCTTATACATCACTCAGAAGATTAATATCCAGATACACAAAGCTCAAAACACAAAGTCAAGGAAACCAATGACCCAATTATAAAATGGGCTAGAGAGATCTAAACATGGAGCTCTTCATAGGAGAAACAGGGAGTTCTCAATAGAAGAAATGCAAATGGCTAACTAATACCTCAAAAAGTGTACATCATCCTTAGCAGTCAGGAAAATGTCAATTAAAACAATTTTGAGATTTGACCCCCCCCAAGTCAGGATGTCAAAGAGCAGCATCAAAACTGATAACACATGGTGATGAGGTTATGAAGAGAGAGGAACCCTCATACACTGTGGGTAGAAACACAAATTTGTGCAGCTACTCTGGAAATCAATGTAAAGAATTCTCAAAATACTAAAAATAAATCTACCATGTGATCTGGCTATACCACTTTTTGGCATGTACTAAAGACTCAACAGCCTACTTCACATACTTGCTCAGCAATGTCCATAACTGTCCTATTCATAACAGCAATAATTGGAATTCCAGGAAATGGAAACAAGCTAAGTGTTCTTCAACAGATGAACGAATAAGGAAAATGTGGTACATATACACAACAGAATTACTATTCAGCAATAAAGAAAAATGAAATAATGAAATTTGCAGAGTATGGACCTAGACACTGTGGGATGTCGTTCTGTATGCTGTAAATATGTGTTGCTCTGATTGGTTGATAAACAAAATGCTGATTGGCCAGTAGCCAGGCAGGAAGTATAGGTGGGGTGAACAGACAAGGAGGATTCTGGGAAGAGGAAGGGCTGAGTCAGGAGTTGCCAACCAGACACAGATGAAGCAAGATGACAAGGCAGAACTGAGAAAAGGTACCAAGCCATGCAGCTAAACATAGATAAGAATTATGGATTAATTTAAGTGTAAGAGCTAGTCAGTAATAAGCCTGAGCTAATGGTCAAGCAGTTATAATTAATATAAGTTTCTGAGTGATTATTCTATAAGTGGGCCACAGGACTGTGGGGGCTTGGTTGGACCTGAGAAACATCTGACTACACCTAGAAAAATTCTGAGTGAGGCAACCCAGTCCCAGACAGATAAATGCCAAATATTCATTCTTATCTTCAGTTTCTAACTCTAAATGGAGTAGCCACAGTAGCAAGGAAGGTATAAAGGAATGAACTTGGATGGGGAATCACAGGATACAGATAATAAGATGTGGGAAATGGAACAGCAAGGAGAGGGCTCCACATTAGAGGAGGATGGAGGTCAGTACAGAAGAAGGGACAAACAACACCAAGATGGTTTGATAAAGTATCAAGAAATCATGTTATTTTATATTTACCTAAAATTATACACAGTACATATAAGTGTATGCACACACATTCACACACAC